TTACAATTCATGCTCTGGCTGTGTGGGTGTCTAAGCACGAACAGATCTCATTTATTCACAAGAAGCCCAAGCTCCAGCTGTGAGATGGTTGTCTTCGGTAATAGAGTCGTAAACCTGTCTGTGACTTATTCAACCAAATAAAGAAACAGAGGGAAAAAGTTCCAACGGGAAACGATATAGCTCAATCGAGAAATACTCTCGCTGCAATCAACTGAGCACAAAATAATACTAATACTAATAATAGCAGAAATAACATCACCAATAATAAGCTGTATCAATTTTAAAATCATTTTAATTACCGTTTTCCCCATTTTCTAGTACAAAATATTTGTGAAAACCTCACACAATTACAAACCTACATAAAATCGTCATGCAGTTATTACGTATTTGTGGCCAACAACTAAAAATCCCAAAGAATTTTAAATCTATCCGATACAAAAGTGTGAATTTTAGCACACCAGTTATGAAAGTAACAGATAACTACAACTATCTTACAAATTGGTATTAAGTCTATAAAAATACGTCTAACAAACTCCAACAACATTAAAAATTCCTTAAAAAGCGCCACCAGCTTCTTAAAAAATTGCATACAAATATTTGCTACGCTGAATTGACAGCAGATATCCCTTTGATGCAATTCGCATCTTTGTTCGAGATGTAAGGACCCACACCTTTACAAATATATATAACCAATGGTACGATGAAAATTAAACGGAGAATGTATATATTATATATATTTATCATATAAATATACCTAATTGACTCCAAAACTTTTGAAATTGAGAACATTTCTCCCAGATCTGGAAGCCAAAAAGTTGAAATTAAACTTAAAAACGTAACATACGAAGGAGTTTTGATTCCGACTACATGTGTCCAGCCATGCGGTGAACGGCTCTTACGCGAATTTACTGGATGGGACAAACTGATTTCTTTTTGCGCAGGTCTGGACGGCTCCTGGCTCGGGAGAGCTCTTTCATCGATGACGCCTAAAAAATAACGTAGAACACGGTACAAGAGTGTCTAGTTAGTAGTGCATCGAATAAGAAACGAACCTCAGAAAACTTTAGGCTGTCCGAAGGGGAAAAGATAAGGAATCTGACTCGCAGTAAAGAAATGCGATATAGTAAAAATTTCCGAGTACTTATCAGCGACAAATACTCAGAAAAACTTATAAAACTAAGAACCACTCAGGATCGAGCCATGTATACCGAAAATAACTATGGTGGCCCCATCTGTTTATTGCATTTTTCCCATGTCCCTCACGTGGCACTATCGACTGTGCCATGTTTGAATCTGTATCACTCGTCTCTCTTCTATTTTATGTCAAAGTGTAAGGTATTCAAGGCACTGTCAAACGTGGCAGATGTTCGTGTGCC